TTGTTTTTGCTGTAGTCCGTGTCCCAAGGCTGCTCCAAAGTCTCTTGAACTTCCGGGTGGTCTCCTTCCTTTAGGATGGGCAGAAAATACAAAGAGCAGCTCAGCTACTAGACAGGTTATGGAATGGATTTACACAAACAGTACATTCAAGGAAAGGTGTCTTACCAAAGATGGGACAAGACAGAATGGAGAGCTAAATGTTCCTACTTATCATGATAAACGTTACTTAGTGCAGGGGAAGAGAGTGTCGTTTAGAAAACATGATGCAAGATGAGTTAGGACCCAAAGAGTTTCAATCCCTTTGGTATTCACTCCTAAGAAGACCTTTTTGAAGCACAATGCACGCATAAGGTATCCTGCATCGGTGGCCAAAGAGAGGAGCAGGGAATGGACACGTTCATGAGAAAATAAAGATGGCTGTTGTCATGTGAACTAAAGCACATCAACGGTTTGTGAGGGCAATCTGGCTCCCACCTCTGTCGCCCCACTTCTTACCAGGGTTGATTCAGCTGAGCTGAATGACTAGGCTGGTGTCACCTCCCTCCCTCCCTGCTCCAAGCCTATCACTCCCAAGGCTGCCTGCTCAGTTTCGGTTTAAAAGGACAACCTTACCCTTCGAGGAGGACCTGTCTTTGGTCGGGAGTACACAAGTAGCTGTGCTCCCCTGCTAGAACCTCCAGGCAAGCTCTGAAGAAACAATGCCCTAGTGAGGATGGAGGGGAATCCAAGGAGGTAATGAGGGCTGACTATGACCAAAGGACATTATACGCAAGGATGCCCTTGTCAAATAAATGAAAACAGTTTTTAAAAAAATCTACAAGGCAGTAAAACTGTCGATGTAATTAAGTACGCAGCAATAATTATGAAATGTGAAAGCTAAAGATCTCACTGAAATGCAGTTTGCGAGAAGCAAAGCAGTATCCCTGCTTCAGTGACAGTGGTTCCTCTGCCTCCGAGTGTTCAGGGACTCCCTCTTGCCCCAGAGTCCTTAGCAAGGTCATTGGACCTTTCTGTCCCTGGGTTGGACATTACCAGCCCTCACCCTACTTTCTAATTGCTTTGGTCTGACTGTTCAGTGATCCTAAACACTACCTAGTCATGTCGCCTTCAGCAGTAAACTAAGATATCACTTCTTCTCGAAGCTTCCCCAGCCTTTCCCACAAGGCTCCCTAGTCCAGTATCCCATGCTGCATCACAAAAGCCCGTGAACTTTCCAGTTGTCCCATGAAGACTGTGTATGTCTTCTCAATAGAGGTCTTGCCCACTTTTCTAATGCTTTGTCCCAGAGCCTTGCAAAAAACCTGGCAGGAGGAGGAGCCAGGGACAAGCCCTGGGTGGATGAATAGCTAAGAGCATGATTGACGGGTGACTGAACGAAGGCCTCTGGATATTCATCTTGGCTACCGGCTTCCCTCTGCACCGTCAGTGAGTGACTGTGTCTCTAGACGTCTCCACAATACGAGGGACCAGAAACCAGGAGAAAAGAGAACAGGAGAGCCTGTGACGTCCAGGTTGATCTCTTTTCCAAATTCGTTTTCGATTCCGCTGAGGGATTGAAGCATGAGGGAAGGGGATGTCAACTCTGTACACAGGGTTCACCTGCCACAAATTCACCCGTTTAAAGGCCTTCCTTTTACTCAGAGTTGAGAAGTGGTCAGCACAAAGTGTCTTTTGTTTGGTGGCACTTCCACTTCCACAAAAAGAAACGCCATGCCCTGTAGTTATTGTCCCCATCTGTCTCCGCCCATCGGCTCTCCCTAAGTAACAACTGATATGCTTTATGCCTCTCGATGATTCCTTATTCTGGATCTGTTTTTACAAAGGAAATCATCTAACACGATCATTTGCATCTCACTTTCACTTAACATAATGCTTCAGCCCTTGCGTTAGTACTTCACTCTTATTTATGACTGGATAATGTTCCGTGTATATATCCATGCAAATATTCCATATTTTGTTCAGCCATGTATCAGTCACAGACCATGGTGCTTTTAATATTCATAAAGAAATTTTGTATGGCCATAATGCTTTCATTTATCCCATGCAGAAGCCCGGGTGTGTTAACTGCTTCGTACAGGAACTCTGTTTAGCTCTCTGCAGAACTGCAAAGCTGTGCTTCCTGCAGTAGTGCATGCTTGCTGACACTGCTGTCCTGACCATTTAATTGTTGCATCCTCATCAGTGCAAAACAATAGTAAGGTTTTGATTTGCACTTCCTCATAACTGACGGCTCTAATGCTCTAATGGAGTCAGTGTAGTTATTGGCTATGTGTATTTCAATTTTTTTTATTTTTTTAAATTTATAAAAATGTTCGTAATGTAAAATAATTTATTTCTAGTAAATACAAAGCATTTATATCACTCTCAGGTCATGGTAATAAACATGAAAAGCAAAATATATCAGAGAAACACGCTCGTAATCATAAGGGACTAAAGAAATAGTGGGCCAGGAACTAGAGACGTGGTTCAGTAGATAAACGCTTCCCATGCAAGTAAGAGGACCAGAGTGTGCATCGTAAGAGCCCACATAGAAACTGTATGAGTGTGGCAGCCGCCTGTAAGCCAGCACTGGGGAGACAGAGACAGGAGGACATCCCCAACCCTGCCCCACCCGCGCCAGAGCAAGCTGGTGAACTAGACTAGCTGGAACCAGCAAGCTCCAGAGAGACCTTTGCCTCAGAAAATAAACTGGAGAATAATTCCCATGCAGCACACACACACACACACAATGGACCATCTCTTGGGGATAAACATGAACTTTGATCCCAGAATCATGTGACAAAACTTATTCCTCTCTCTGAGCTAGTCGCTCAGCCTCCACCGAGTCCTGGCTTCCACATCTATAAAATGGAGCGTTATGAATCCCTTAATCTTAGAGGTAATCCGAGGAGCAAAGTGTTCACACAAAGCACATGGCATGGTCACCAACACACAGTAAGCGCTCCGTTAAGTTTTGGCATATAAAACTAGGCATGGCAATGAATTCCTTTTAAATTGTAGGATGGCTAGGAGGTTTTTGTTATGCAAATACAAAGTATGACTTTCAAAGAAGGAATCATTTGCTTTTCAAACTTAATCAACCAGGAAACCTTTGTCACAGGTCCCCTGACAGGATGCTCCTCTACCTACTTCCCTTCCCTCGCCTACAGGCTGGAGAGTTGAGGTCCTGTTCCACAGACTCCACCACTCGACCACAATCTAAATGGGGAACCTGAGTTCTTGTGCTCCCCCACTTCTTCAGAAAGCGTTTTCCGTGAAGACATCGTGTTGGAAACAGGTAAAGAAGGCCTGTGTTCTTCCCACCACACTCTGCCTACTCCTCCCATCAAGGACCCCTCTGGCCCTCTAAACCCACCCTTACATTGTTACAGTGGAGAAGAAAGAGCCCTCATCACTGATGTTCTAGCAAATTACCAAATAGCCAAGAGATACATGTTGTGTTAAAGCCTCCTGCATTGGGAGGAAACCTTCATAACAAACCCACGAGGTTACTTTATAGTTCAGAACCCCTTCTGACTCATGAAGAAAGGGAACCATCTTTCCACTGCTGGTATAAAGAGGGGGCAGCGCACAGATCCAAAATTCATCAGTCTTCTGCAATTACAGCCAGCCAATTCCTTCTCAGAGCTGGGGGTGTGCCGGCTGCTGTGTGGCCAACAGTCAGGGAGTTAGACTGAGCAAAACGGTGCAGGTGGAGGTGGAGGGAAAGCTATGGTGTGGAGGGGGGGGAGAATCTTAGAGGCTATACACCCCCACACATCACTGCCCTGTAGGATAACTGCAGAAAGAAGGATCCTTCCATGTCCAAGGGCAGAGCTACTCACTCCGTCCAGTCAAACGCCTCCACGATTGTTTCAGAGAAGTCTCCTGGAAGACAACTCCAAACATGAGACTGGGAAGTCCGTCCCTGAAACAGCTTTCCAGCCCGCACCGGCCAAAAACTGGCCTAGGGAGATTCCAGGTGACAGAGGTGTTGCGAGGACCATACCAAGGTGACCTGGGAGCTTCTCCTCGACCCTCCTACCTCCTTGTGGCAAATGAGAGAAGGGAATGGGAACCAGAAGGGGGTTCAAGGCTCCCATTAGCTGCCGCTGATTTCCTAGGTGTGATGATCAGAGTCTGGCTGGAAGAAAGCTGTCTGTCCGTTACAAGTAGTGCGGTTCCAACATCTATGGCTCCTCAGCTAGCTGAGAACCATATATCAGTTCTAATATCAAGACATGTCAGAATTTGTTTTGGCAAAGCTAACAGAATGGTCCAGGTCTGATCAGTTATTATGAGGACCCAGCGGCGTGGTCCCCTGGTAGTCATGCCCTTTGGTCCCTAGCCATAATGGAAAGGGAGGTGCCCACTTTCTTCTCCTTTCAAACTTCAAAATGCTCCTCTCTGCATCTGAAATCTGCTGGTCCTCTTTGGAATCCCAACCCAAAAGACCTAGAAAATGTCCAAATTTCATTTGTCTGCCGTAAACTTGGTAAATAAGACTTCTGGTATTACAGAGAGTATTTTTTTTTAATTTCATATATGTATGCCAAATTTACATCATTTCCACCCCCTCCCTCCAACCCATCCTGTGTCTACCTCCCCCGTGCAGTGTGTCTGTGTGTCCAAGTGTATTGCATACATGTGTTCATGTGTGCATACAAGCGTGTATGTGTGTAATGTTAGGTAAACATAAAAAGAATGTGGTTCACTCTGACTTTTCAGATATGATTAGTGTTACTTAGCCTCCTCCCTCCCTGCTTCTGTCTCTGCATTGCCCTTTCTCCCACTGCCCAGTTAAAGCCTCTTCCTCCATTTTCCCCATCCTTCCATTTAAAATATCAGTAAAAACTAATGAGCAATTTAAAACAGGAGGCCAGTTTGGATTGGCTGTCCCACCTCCGGCCTGATGGTGGAGTGGTCAGCAGTTAAGAACAGCAGCTCGGAGGCAGGACTAGCTGGACTCAGCTCTCCTCCTCCTCCTCCTCCTCCTCCTCCTCCTCCTCCTCCTCCCCTCTTTGTGATGGTGAACTACCTACTTTGCTCTTTCTGCTTCACTTTTCTTACCTTTAATATGAAGAAAATATCAGTTATTCATGTGCCCGACGGGAGAACTAAATGAGATAATGTGCATTCATGCAGCTAGGGTGTCAGTGATTCATATTAGGTAATTATTGCTATTGTATGTCATAGGCGGGCAGCAGGCTTGCAGAAAAGCACGCACTTTCATTCGGGAAAGCTGGTCTGCCACTTGGGGTACTCAGTTCCATCTCTGGGCCTCCAGCTTCCTCGTCCACAGATTAAAGGTGATCAGCCATCTGAGAGCTGCTTGAGGCTTCAGGGAGCTACTGCAGGAGACACATGTTTGCAAACTGTTACATGATATTCGATGTAATCTAATATGATTATCCTCCAGCTGACCCAAGCCTCTGGAGATGCTGGACAGAGCTGTTGACAGGACTTGACAGTCTGCGTAATGGATGAAAACCTAAAACCATGCTTAGGGCCTTCCAATGCAAAGCAAAAACAAGTCAGAAGCATAGAAGTGTGGACTCAGAGACCAGTGTCTGAGCAATCTCTATGAAGGAATTACCTGGCTGATTCTGCTTATTGGCTTAGCACCCTTCAAACAGACTGGTTGCATTTTTTTCTTCAGTTGACATTTAGTAACACTAGCTCCCTCTGTCCTAAACTCTATAATGGTTTTGTCCCTATTCAAGTAAGCATAAGTATTCTGCCTTAAATATGGTTTGTCTCTGTAAAAACCCCATGCTGAGATAAAATGCCAATGCCACAGTACTGAGCGATATGGAGGCCTTTAAGAGATGGCTGGTGCCACAGGGCCTCTGCCCTCTTGAACGGATGAATGTAGCTCCCACAGAGTGAGCTATATGCTGGAGGTGTGAGTTACATAGCGTGTTTCCCAGGCTCTCCCTAACTTCCTCTCGCTGTGTGATCTCTCTGGCTAATTGCCCTTCCTCCCACCTAAGGCCATCACCAGAAGCCAAGTGAAGCCAGAGGACTTCCAGACAATGAACATCTTACCTTTACAAATGATCCCATCTCAGCTTGGCTGCTAAAACAGCGGCTCTCAGCATATGGGCCGAGACCCCTTTGGGTCGAACAACCTTTTCAGAAAGGTCATCTAAAACCATCAGAAAACACAGATACTTGCATTACAATCTATAACAGTATCACAATTATAGTGATGAAGTGGCAACAAAAATAATTTCATGGTTCGGAGGTTCACAGCACTAGGAAGGTTGAGAACCACTGTGCAAAAGCAACAGAAAACCCACTGAGACGTGAAAAGAGGCCCAACTGGCCTGAAGAGTTGTATCCTAAGGTGTTCACCCTGGGCTCGCCAAGCCTGGCTTGAGGCTTCAGCTCATAAAGGCAGCCAGAGATCTGACCACTTGGCCCATATCATGGAATTCATCCACCTGGTGGGGCCTCTGCAGGCCTCTGCAGTCTGAGCATTCTTCAAGGAAAAGAGAACCAAGAATTCACCCATAATTCTCCCTTCTTGGACTCTCATGACCTAGGGCATGTTAAAGTCCTTTCATTGACAGCTTCTTACTTCATAAAAGAGTCGGAAATTTATGAAACAGGAAGGGGGAATGGGTGTTGAAGAAACACGAAATGAAGGAGGGGGACACCTTGTTCTCCCTAACCCTACCCTGTTCTCAGGTGCTGGAAAAGGAAGGGTGTGTTCAAGGTTACTCCAGAGCAGCTCTGGGGAGGAAGCTGTTTGGGGAAGCAGTGGACTGCAATGCTCAGTAGAGTTTCCAGGGCCTGAACAAGGTGGCCTGCGTCAGCGAGACTCACCTCAACTGGCCTTAGGTGAATGGCTCTTCATGGGCACCTTTAGTGTGAGGAAGGGTCTAGGGACACATGCTGGAGCCCAAGAAAAAAAGGTCACAGGCACAGTGGAGGAAGAGACGGAGTTGACGCTCATGCTCCGCCATGCTCTGGCCTTCACCCCGTTTCCTCTTAGTTGTGGTTAAAGAGAAAACACCACATTAAACTAGGCCTCCTCACGGCGTCTACCTTCTGATTCAGCCACAGTCTGCCTGCAGCTGAGAAGACACAGGCCTGAGCTTTTGCTCCAACTAGGTTGCTCTCCCCTCTTCAAACTGCTCCCTGCCCCTCTGCCCCCTGTCCGTGTCCTCCTTTCTGGTTTTGTTCTCTGTCACCTCTTTCTCCATACATGCCTCCCATAGCCCCTCATTCAGATGTCCAACTTTCCTGCCTCCTTCCGTGGACCTCGCTATCTCTAGCCCAGTTCTCCTCTCTGCTTCTCTCATTCTGGCTCCCTTCACTCTCCCTGCCTCCTTTTTTTCTCCTCCTCCCAGGTCCCTGCCTGCCTCCCACTTCCCTTCCTCCTCACTTCCTCCTCACTCTCTTCCTCCTCCCGACTTTTTTCTTCCTTCCTGTGCCCCACCTCCTTGCCCTCTTGGGCTGGTTAGGTTTCTGTCCACTTGACAGGAGCCAGGGTCATCTGGGATGAGGAAACTTCAAGTGAGAAAACACCTCCGTCATACTGACCTCAGGCAAGTCTGTGGGCCATTTACCTGATTAATGATTGATGTGAGAGGGCCCAGTTCACTGTGGGTAGTGCCACCCCTGGATGAGTGATCCTGGGTTGCATAAGAGAGAGAACTGAGCGAGCCATGGGGAGCAAGCCAGTAAGCAGCAATCCTCCTTGGTTCCTGCCTCTGCTCCTGAGTTCCTACTGACTTCCCTCAATGATGGACTGTGTTCGGGGTGTGTGAACCAGACAAACCCTTTCCTGCCAAGTTGCTTGGTGTTGTGACATCCTCATCACAACGACAGAATGCAAATGAAGACACGCTCCCTCTTCCTCCCCTTTCTCTCCGCTCCCCTTCTGAAGACACGCTGCCTCTTCCCTACCCCTCCCTCTCCACTCTCCTTCCTTCTCGTCCCTTCTGTTTGCCTCGTCTGTCTTTCCTGACCCAGCCCGTCTCCATGCACACTTTCAGATTTCCTTGCTTCCGGTTTCTATCAGGTCCAAAGGTAAAGAACAGTTTCATGTGCAGATTGCAGAAGGCTCTGCTATTGGCTGGGAAGAACAAGGGAAGAGGAACCGTGGTTTGTGTAAAAATAAATAAGTAATAATACGTATAATAAAAATGCCATTTTATCATAAAATTTCCAAGCATGTGGACTCCTATTTATCCTTCCTTTGTAGTCTCCCCCAGAAGCTAGCACTGTGCCTAACAGGTAAAAAGCAATTCATAAGCATCTGTTGACTAAAAGCCTCACCAATAACTGAAAGAATGTGGAAACAAAACGTCCATCTATTTCACTTGAGCGCACTGTACCCACAATGTCCGCTGAATGAGAGAGCAGAGACACCCCTGGAACCCTCTGGTGGAGGCACATCCCATTAGCAGACACATTAAAAGGAAATGGGGTTGCTATAGCCCACCCTCTTTTCAGTGGCCAGCATTTTCCTTGTTGACTTCACGAACTTTCCTGGCCAATCCTCTTTTACAAACACAGGTAGAATCCCAGTCCACAGTTCTGGACACATAGCCACTGGCTCTGCTTGTGTCTCAGCAGTGCTGGGCCACTCTCCCTTCTTTCTCCCTCCACCCCTCACTGGCTCATTCCTGAACCCTTCTCGCTCATCTATTCAGCACATGTCAGTGTTCTGCCTTCCCTGTGACAAGCGGCACCCTGCAAACTTTCTGTGAGCTATCTCATTTAATCCATGGACAACTCTCAAGCAAGGACCCTTTATTATTTTTTTTTTTTTAACGTGAGGAATCAAGGTGGAACCTAGCCAGATGTGTCCTCCCAACTGTCCTGGTTTGCTGACTATTGAAGTAGTTCCCAGGACATCGACCTTGAAGGTTTAAAGTCAGAACAATCCCAGACAAGCTGTCCCAGTTTTCCCGGGACTTGGAAATTCCCCGGGGCATGAGACTTTCAGTGCCAACACTGGGAAAACCCCGTGCAAACTGGATGGGTTGGTTACCCTGCTCCAACCGCAAGCCTGGGGCCATACGACTGGTCCACATAAGAGCCAAACCCATTTCATCTGATTTCAGGGCTCCGCTTTTACTCCCCCTTGCCCAGCTAACCTCTAACCCACTATTTTGAGCTTTTTCTAAACCACGCTACAGTCACACCCAAACACTGCTGTACTAGTCAGTTCGCCGTGGCTGTGATAAAGACACGAGGCGCTCAATCAAAGGCTTATCTTGGCTCACAACTTTGGAGGTTTCAGCCGTGATTCAAGAGATCCATTGCCGTGGGCCTCTGGCGGGAGTGGGGGCAGCTCATCATGGTGGGAGCCCGCAACATTGCACAACTTTCCCTCGGCCAGACTACCGAAGATCAGAAGGGAGGGAGGGCCTCCAGAAGGGCATAGTCCCGTGGCTTAAAGGGCCCGCCTTCTAAATATTCCTCACATCTTGATGGCATCAGCTACAGACCAAACCTTAAACATCTGGGTTTGGGGGAGAAAACTCGTTATAATAGTTTTCCCTTGTTCCTCCTGTGGTTCTCTTTGAAGACAGGGGAAAAAAAATCCCAGCTCTTCATGGACAGTCTTCCAGTCGCCAGCCCTCCTGTCAAACTGGACCAGCACTCTCTCTGCGGTTCTACAAACGTCTACACCACCTCCGTTCTTGCCTCACGCCTTCCTTCGGTCACTGGAGAAGGTCAGTCTAGCATCTACCTAGGGTTAAGATTGCCTGGAAAAGACAAAGAGGAGGCAGACCCGGCACCCCAAATAAGCATCGAAATCTTATTTTAGGGGCCATTTCCTCTCAACCCCTCCTGGTCCCCTTTCCTTAGATCCAGCACGTCTATTGTCAAGTAGCATGACTTGGGGCACTGAAGCCATTTGATGTCATGTTTTCACCTGGCCTATGCCTGTGAGTCTCGATTCACTAATGAGATTGTCAAAGTGTGGCGGCAGCGATGTAGGCAAGCCTTTCTTCTGCTTCCCACGATACATCTGACCTGGCCACAGTCACACAATGGCTAATTGAGAATTCCTCGTCAAGTCAAATTAAATTGGTTAAAACAGAATCTCTGACACAAATAATCCTACGTAACAATTGGATTTTACTTTTCCCCCCGTCTCTGAGTACAGAATAGCTCTTCTGCCCGAGAAAGCCTTAACTTCGAATTTCCCTGCCATCTGGGAGGGCCTGAGCCAATCAAGTTGACCCATTTACATTTCTTATTCCACCTCTGCAGAGGAGTCTGCCTCTTTCCCTTCCTCTTCCTCCACCCCCAGACATCTTAGAACCTAATCACCACCTTTCGAACCCTCCCTGTCAACTTCCACCCCCTCAACCGAATGCACACACGACCTCAAACACTGAGCCGCAGTCAAATTTTTAAAGTTCAAGAGCTGAAAAAGAGGAGCAATTGAGTCATTTTTCCTTGATTCAAAGTGCTGGGGCTTCTCTAGAGCACCCTGACATCCTTTGTACCAGCCTGTTCCTGAAGCAACGCAAGCTGAGGGGTCTCATCACACTGCCCAAGTTAGCAGTGAGTGGGGAATGGCAAGCTTTTCCTGCAAGTAACTGGGGTCACCGGGTCCCGGGTCACCTGTCCCCACACATATCCTATGACACAGATTCCTTCCGTTGTACAGTCTGCTTCAGAATCCACCTCAGCCCCAGTCAGCCTCTGTCGCCAGCACAGCACAGCCTTTGCCACTATGAAAAGTCGAGCGATACATTTGTTTCCTTTCTCTTCCTTTGTTGGATTTTTTTTCTCCATAAGTTCCATGTTGAGAAAACCTTGTAAAAATCTTTAATTCACTCAAGATGGAAGACATCCCCAGCAGAAGGGCAAACAGGCCTTTGGAGCTTCGGGCTACCCTGTGGAGTCAAGCTGTTCCACAGGAGGTGTGGATTCTGGCAGCTCATCCTCCCAGAAGCCCCAGCAAATCGAAGGATCCTGCACAGCTCTCTGAAAAGCCAACCCCAGCTCCAGAGATTCAGCGGTGTCTTTGAATGGCTGGAGGACCTCAGAATCCCACTGGACCTTCCTTACCAAAAAGGGGAATTCTGTGTAAACGATAATTGCCTTCCAAGGAGAGTGACTCTTAGGAAACTCAGTGAACCAAGCGGTGGTGAACCACATGCCTTTAATCCCAGCACTCAGGAAGCAGAAGCAGGTGGATCTCTGTGAGTTTGAGGCCAGCCTGGTCTATAAATTGAGTTCCAGGACAAGCTCCAAAGCTACTGCGAAACCCTGTCTCAAAAATAGATAGATAGATAGATAGATGATAGATAGATAGATAGATAGATAGATAGATAGATAGATAGATAGATAAGAAGAAAAGAAAAAAAAACACTCAGTGAGCTCCTTCATGAGTTTGAGTGTGAAAATGCCCTGTAGCTAATTATGGGTGGAGAGGCATAAAAGGGCTACATGGCTTTAGATAAATAATAATAATAATAATAATAATAATAATAATAATAATAATAATAATAGATGGAAGGAAAAGAGGATAAAACAAAGAAAGGCAACAGCTAAGGAGAGAGGGAGAGAGGCTGGGGCTTCACAAGGGGTTCAGTGGCCAGGCATGGGGTGGAGGGAGCAAAAGGTCGATATGAAGGTGTAGACTGTCAAAATAAAAGCCCTTCCATCTCCCTTCCAAATCTACTCTGAAGTTTTTTTCCACAAACCTCCATGAATGAGTGAGTGGGTTTTATGGGTTTGCGCTGGTAGAACTCAGAGAAGAGGCTGGATTGCAGGTATGAGTCAAGCAGGGCTAAAACATCAGCAAGCGTAGAGAGCCACAAGGGGGAAAAAGCAAGAGTTAGACGCCAGGGTGATGACCAGAACCAAAGAATCTGGAGAACTGTTGATGTCTTGCTTTGGTGGTTCAAGTTCATCTCTCTAGTTGTCACCAGGAAGGATTGTGTGTGCATGTGTGAATATGCACATATGTACACACACACACACATAAACAAACATCCAGAACCAGACACAGGGTGTGCCTGGCTAGGAATTGGAATCTGTGGGTCCCTTTCTTGGAAAACTGAACCAATGGAACTTAGCCCCTGACTGTCAGTGAAATGTCACCACCACC